TATTTAATTATCAAATGATATGTTTAATACCCAAACCAATAGGATACAAATTTTAAACATTCATTCACCAAAATCATATTCAAAATCTAAGTGAAATTAATCCCAGAATAAAAACTAAAGGAAATCCCAAGACAGTAGCCACAAAGCAGACTCAGAGAGAAGTGAGTTCATACTGGGTTAGGAAGAATAGGACTCCAGAAATGAAATCCCCAAGGAGGGGGGAATTAATTAATAAGATTAACTGATGTTTGAGAGGAGTTTGATAGTTCTAGTGGAATCTTGGAATGAGGCAATTAATCCAAGGGAGTAAGTACAATTCTAGAAAAAAAGAAAAGGGAAGAGATGCAACCAAATGGTATGAGTTTTCTGAACACTAGACATAACTTGCTTTTATTATTATCACTGACACACTTATACTTATCATCATTATTTTTGTGTCTAAGTAGAAATGCATTCCTTCTATTTAAATATTCCTTATTTCTTCACTGTCAACAATAACTGCATTATGGATCATCTAAATTGTCATAGTTTCAAAGAGAACATGATAAATATTCTGGAATCACAGCGTTTTCTGAAGTTGAGAAGGTAACCCTACCTATGCTTCTCCAGGGATGATGCCCCCCAAGGGAACATGACCAAAACCTTGGACTGGCTCACTCAACACCCATTTAATCCCCTGCTGATAAACCTTCCTTTAGTGCAGAGGCTAGAAAGCTAAAATTGTATTTTCCAAGATTCTTATAACAATAGGCTTCGGGATGTGATTTAAACCCTGCCAAGTGGTATACTCATGAGAGTCTTTGGAAACTGGGGTACGTAAGGAAGAGAGAGGGAGTAAGGAATCTATTTTACTGGTAGGGATACATGGCGGATGCAGCATGATTCTGAAGCATACCCATGTGCAATGACTTCCTTATCTGGTAGCTTTCTGCTTTTGGCAGAGGCAGCAGCTTCCTTGACAGCCCAATTCTGCAGTTTGCTCTTAGTCATTCAGACTACAATTTGTTTCTTCAGCCCCACTGGCAATTTTGTGAGCTATGTATAGTCCTTAAAAGATCCCTTTGGGTTCCACTAGCTACAGTGGATTCTATTACCTGTACCTAAGAACCTACATTAACACAATTATGAACACAATTTTCTAAGACATCTTTCGAGATACTCACGAGGTAATTAGTAAATGGACTAACAATAGGATTATGAGACACTTTCTTGACCCCTCCTCAATTAAAAGTGCTTCTGGCTCACGCCTGTAATCCTAACATTCTGGGAGGCTGAGGCGGGAGGATTGCTTGAGGCCAGGAGTTCAAGACCAGCCTAAGCAAGAGACATACTCTGGCTACAAAAAACAGAAAAATTAGCTGGGTGTGATGGTGGGCAACTGTAGTCCCAGCTACTGGAGAGGCTGAGGCAGGAGGCTTGCCTGAGCCCAGGAGTTTAAGGATGCTGTGAGGTATGATGATGCCCCCGTACTTCAGCCTGGGCAATAGAGTGAGACCCTGCTTCCATCTATGGATCTCCTTTCTTTCTCCAAACATGTAGATTAATGATTTAAACTTACTTTGTCACAAAATCATTAGCATCCTTTGCTACTTTTTTAAAGAATACTTTTGTTTTTCGTTACTATTAATAAATGTTTTATGTTTTAAGATGTATAAAAAATTTTAAAGCTCCAACTTATTACAACAGATTACTCTTACAGTTTACACCCATATATGTATTTATGAGGGGAAGCACTCACCTGAGCAATGAACTGGATAATCTTCACAAATATATTGAGAGGTGTGTCACGAGGAACCACACTTCGCGAGCCTTTTGGAAAAAGTGCTGACACTATGCTCATAAGACGACTACAGGGAAAAAAGATTCAGTCATGATGAGGTTATGACACTAACAGCATATTAGTAAAAAAAATTCTTCCTGTTCTTCATAATATATCAAGAGAATTCATATTCCTTCCCAAGTATTTATGACGTTTACTAAAATTCCATTAGTGTGATTTTTTAAACATTTTATCTTAAATGCACTTTAAAAAAAGGCACTCACCTTTGAGTTACAGTGTTGCTTTCACATTTTATTCTAATTACATAAACCCACAACAATCTATACAAAGATTCCAGTGCAACTCGAGACATTTTAGGATCTTTATTCTGTATAAAAACAAAAGAGAATAAAAATAGACTTATTAAAACATTTGCAATCATTTAAGATCAAATATGTTCTCTGTTAACAACTAAAAGCCAACCCCCTTATTTGTAGTCAATGTAAAACAGGTTTACATACCTAGGTACATATTTGGTATATGGTAAATGGGCTCAAAAGTAACCATTAATATGGAAATTCTGAGCCCTTCCTTATACTCCCCCCCCAAAAATACTAAAACATAAGAATTATATTAATATTTCTAAGGACACACACCAACTTACTTGATAATAAATAGTCCACACTACAATATTGAAAGGATTGAAAAAGAATTACTGATTTTTGGAGTGATCCATTTATAGTCCATCCATAACACAGTTAAAATTTAGAACACTAAATGATATTGTTACTTGCATTTATAAAAGAATGCAAAATATTGAGTGTATATTCTTACAGGAGAGAATATGGAAAAATGGGGTTAAGATCATGAACTCTGATATCAGGAACTGGGATTAAATCCAAGCTCCATCCTTGGACATCATTACATCACTCCAAGCTACAATTTTTCTCATCTCCAAAATGGAGACCATATGGTACCCACCTCACAGATGAGGAAAGTTAGTATCTGTAAGGCCCTTGGAACAGTGCCTGGCATGCGTTAAATGTTCACTGAGTGTTAAGTGTTATACCTTTAATTTTTACTTAGAATCAGGACATTATTTAAATTATTATTTAGAACCAGAAAGTTATTCCATTTCAATCACAATTTTATCAGCAAACTTTTTCTTCATTCTAGCTGTTATAAAAAATAAAGTTCTCGAATGACCATGAGATGTAATTGTGAATTGTGAAAATGTAGCCAATAATCTCCTTTATCAGGAGAAACTCTTGTTACATACATCTGTTGACTGGTTGTAGGATGCATTGATTGCTGTAAATTTACATTTAAAAAACATTTGGTTTGGGGGGATTTCTTATCGTTAAATAATTATTTTATAAATAGCAACTGACAAAAGGGGTTTTGTAAATATTAAGTAATTTACCCATTCTATTTTATGTTTTCTTAAGAAACAGAATAATGGACATCTACTACATATATATGATTAAAAGCAATGCAAAAAGATAACAATGTTCTTTAAAAAGACCCACTAAAAAATATAATTTTTACACATCTAGCTAGATGAAGATTTGATATGATTAAGTCTGGAAAGACCAAGTACTCTGCTAGTCAGAGTCTTTATCCTTGATCCCTCTCTCATTGCCAAATTCACAATGATCCCAAATTTCAAATGTACTCCCAAAGTAATTTTCTACTGTATTTGTTACTCATGTAACTAAAGTAACATATCATTTATAATAATGTAACAACCAAGCTTTTGGTAGTAATGCCTTTAAGAAAACATAACTTTCCTTTCTATCATTCCAGTCCAAGAGGCCAGATATCAAAATATGAGTTCAGCCAGGGGTTGGGAAAGTAGGGAGGGATGAATAGGCAGAGCATGGAGAATTTTTAGAGCAGTGAAAATACTCTGTGCGGTAGTGCAACAGTAAATCCATGTCATCACACATCTGTCCAATCCCATAGAACCTCCAACGCCTAGAGTGAACCTTAATATAAACTGTGGGCTTTGGGTGACAAGGATGTGTGAATATAAGTTCACCAATTGTAACAAACTGACTCTGGTGGGGAATACCAATCATGGGGGAGGCCAGGCATGTGGTAGGGTTGGGGGGGGTCTCTATGGGAAATCTCTGTGCCCTCCTCTCAATTTTGCTGTGAACCTAAAACTGCTCTTAAAATAATAGTCTTAAAAAAAAAAGTTCCGTTAGGTTTTTACGTACACGTCAGATAATACTTTCACATTAATGAATTATAGTTTTAAAATATACGTTGAAAATATTTAAGTTCTCTTCCACATAAAAACTGTTCTCATAAATGATTAAATATAGAAGTATCTGAATTATCTTAAGTGATCAGGTATCTGGCATGAAAAAACTTGATTTTCAAATGTTCCAAGATGGATTGCTATTCCACAAAGCTGGTATTGGCTCAATGCCAAAGAGCAAGATGACAAGTGATAAAAATCAATTGTTAATTATGTTTTTGGTCACTACAATGTAGCTATATATGTCTGAATGATAAAACTATCCTAAATTGATATGAGCCTTAAACAAAGATATATAATTCTCTAGTTACAATCTTGGTCTAATTTCAATAATCAGATTATTACATAAATAAAAGTCTAATGACATTAACATACAACAAAGTTTTGATATGTCAGTCAAATATGATCTTTGGCAAAAATCATTTTAATAAGTTTTTTCCCTTTTTTCTATGGTATACCAAAAAAGTGATGCTTAAAACCCAAACCAATAGAATAAAAGTTAAAAATTCGTTCATCAAAATTGTGTTAAAAATCTAAGCTACTAACTCCTTAATTTCATTGGAAACTTGTTTTCAACATTTTCATTTATAACAGCTAGATGATGTAAATTAAACAGAATATTTAATTTAATTTAAAAACTAATTTAATTTTTTCAGAGACAGGGTCTCCCTCTGTTACCCAGGCTGGAGTGCAGTGGCCCAATCACAGCTCACTGTAACCTCAAATTCCTGGGCTCGAGTGATTCTCCTGCCTCAGCCTCCTGGGTAGCTGGGACTACAGGCATGCACCACTACACCCAGCCTAAACATAATATTTTAAAATTGTGAATTTTGGCGAAGAATCAGCATTTAGTATTACTTCTACCTCTTAAAATTCATCCTTTTTGGGTCACATTAATTTTAAACCTTCTGAAGACTGTTCCTGCTGTGTCTTACTCTTCTTTTACAATACTATAAGCAAGTTCAAATAAATACATTAGACGTGCAATGCAACAATGGTAAAGGAAAAAAACAAATGCCAGGCTTAACAGAAATAAAGCAATATTTTACTTTGTAATGTCAACACAACTCACCTGGAGTGTTTCTATTTGTTTTCTGATACTGTTGTTAGATGGCATCTAAATAAAGCAATGTAAGACAGCAAACATAAACATGAGATGCAGCACATGCATGTTAGATGAAAATAAGCACAAAACAAGACAGCTTTTCACCAAGGTCTCTATTTAGAAGAAATTTGAAATTTCCAAGACAGTGGCCAGAAATACTAAGAAAAAAAAAAAATCCCACAATTTAGGCATCACCGGATACACCTACAATACTCAAACTAAGAGAAAACAGTTAAAATTTTGACTACCTAATTTTAAAGTGCTGCATCTGAGTTCAAACAATTTTTAAAAGAAAATAAGCATAGATTGTGGGAGGGAAAAATCTCCAAATTATTTTTTGCATATTTACTCTTATCATTCACCTATCTCTCTTTAATAATTCTTCACCAATTTTAAAATCACTTTTAACATAAGCACCTAAGTTGATATAAAGATATGGGAATGGAAAACTACCAAATTCTGTTTGGGACAAAAATAAAAGATTTAATTTTTCAGTGAAAATAAAGTGACACTCTCTTACATGCTATTTATAGGCATACAGGACTAAAGCCCATTCCACAGTCAACAACTTAAAAAAAATTGGTATGGTAATTTCATATGTGCAATATCTTTTTTTTTTTTGAGACAGAGTCTCACTCTCTTGCCTGGGCTAGAGTGCCGTGGCGTCAGCCTAGCTCACAGCAACCTCAAGCTCCTGGGCTCAAGTGATCCTCCTGCCTCAGTCTCCAGAGTAGCTGGGACTACAGGCATGTGCCACCATGCCCGACTAATTTTTTCTATATGTTTTTAGTTGTCCAGCCAATTTCTTTCTATTTTTAGTAGAGACGGGGTCTCGCTCTTGCTCAGGCTGGTCTCGAACTCCTGACCTCAAGCAATCCTCCCGCCTCAGTCTCCCAGAGTGCTAGGATTACAGGCGTGAGCCATCATGCCCGGCATATGTGCAATTCTTAAAGCACGTTGAAATTCATACTTATTCTTAGGCTCTAGAAAATAACGACTCTTTAATATTCTAGAATTATAGCCAAAATATTTTCTTTAAAACATTCTTGAAATATTCAGCAACCCTGGCACACGCCTGCAATCCAGCAACTCAGAAGGCTGAGGCAGGAGGATCACTTGAGGCCAGGAGTTCGAGACTAGCCTTGGCAACATAGTGAGATGTTGTCTCTAAAAAAAGAAAAATAAAACATAAAAAGAAAAATTAACTAGTCATGGTGGTGCACACCTGTAATCCCAGACACTCGGGAGGCTGAGGCGGGAAGATCACTTAAGCCCAGGAGTTTGAGGCTGCGGTGTGCTATGATCACACCACTGCACTCCTGCCTGGCAACAGAGAGAACTCATCTCTTAAAAGAAAAAAAAAGAAAAAATCCAGTACAGAAACAGTCCAAAGGTAAGAGAGTAGGCCAGAAGAACCAGAGTTATGAAACTGCATGAATCTGGACACTAATGTACCTCTATCATTTACTGGATCCCTAAAACATGGGATACTTATTTTCTTTCAGCCTCAGGTACGGTGGTAATCAAACGAAATACTGTATTAGAGAGTCTAGCATCCAGTAAACATTAATAAAAATCAATCGTAAGTAGTAGGGGGTCTAATAAATGGAAAATTGTTACAGATTTTTTTATATCAAGAAATTATTTGAATCTCAAAATAAATTGGGTAAGTCCTTTATCTTGGACCAATTTTTTCTATATATAAAACAATTCTTACAACAGATAACTAGCATAGCTTTTCCTTGAATGCTCAACTCCTTACCTCAACTATGCAGAGCAGCCACATTATCTAAGACTTAATAAACAGAAGCCAATTCATGAAATTTCTGCTGAATAGAGCCTTAATGTAAGTTAAGGGTTAATGGCCAAGACAATTATATTCCAAATATTCATGCTAAGTGGCTCTTATCTCCTTTAGCCTGGCAGATTAACACAGCCATTAATGAAAATGAGCAATATGCCAGAAATATTTAACAGGAGGTAAGGGTTCAAAGAAAACAGAGCATTTAAAATGAAAGCCTTAAGACAAAAAAAAAAAAAGTTAAGGTACTGCGAAAGTATTGCAAATATGTTAGGTGAAAACGTGTATATATAAAAAAAATTCCAACAAGCAACAGAAAAGTATGAACTGTTATGAAACAAAGCTATCTTCCAGAAACACTTAAATGCATGTCTTAAAAATATTTTGTTGAAAGTATAAAAAAAATGCTATCCAGAAAACGATCAATTTTCTTGAGTACCTATATCTATAAGTACCTATAAGAATTATCAAAATAAGGACAAAAACAAGTATAATGTAATTAATCAAATAAAATTGATTCCCTTTGTTGTATGACATAAAGAGTTTAATCAGCTTGATTTGGTCCTAGGAATTTTCATAAATAAAGCAAAGAAGGTGTATCAATTCTCATCTAAGTATGAAAAATACCAGTATCTATCTAGGAAGAAAATAAACAAAAATGTTTTTCAAAGACAAAAAAGAACCAGTCCTATTTCTCCCAAGACCACAACAAGCTGCACGGCCAGAGAGACAAGTCATCTCATTTATCTATTCTTATTCCAGTATCTTCAAAGGATAAGGTTTTCACTCTCAAATCTACCTTAGAGGAATACCAGGAAATGAAATGTCATGTCTGCGATGTTTCTGTAACTCTCTGTAACTCGTAAACAAATATTCAAACAGACTCATCTAACAATATATCAAAAGAATATTCAAATCAAGCTTTCACGTGACATGCAGATGAGGATTATTCCCACATCCGGTGTCAGAGTTGTGTTCCTGCCCAAAGAAGAAAAGAGCATCCCACTAGCAGAGTAGCCTGGGAAGAAAATAATCCTTCTCTCTCTCTCAGTTTTATTTCCAGTGCCAAGGAAGACTGAACATGGATGTGCCAAATGGTGTTAGTAACAAGTATCCCTTCACTCAAGTGAGAACCACTTCGGGGGTTTTTATATCTGTGTGGATCCAGTACCAAACTTTGCATTTCAGCTGGGCATACTTACATAAAATGTGATTTCGGTGATATTTTGTTATCAGAGCTTTTTTCATATTGCTCTGATTTGAGCCAACATTACTGAATTTTCTCAAAACAAAACACAGAATGAGTATCTAGAAAGTTGTGTGAGATTATGTAATATACTCTGCAATTCTAAAAGTATGTATTAAACAAATATTCTTAAATCTAAGATCATATACGTAAGATTCATTAAAAATGTATAATTTTGCATTCATTGGGACAGATTAAATTTTCGAACAAAAGTTTATTCATATTTATACATGATTCCCTAGAGAAGAAATAAAGTATATATTATATAAGAAGAAAAATGTAGTAAAGTATTATTCAAGTATATCCATAGCAATGAAAATTTTATTTTACACTGTCTAATTTATATGCATAAATAAATATATCATGGTCAGTATGAACAGGTCAGAAATGAGACTGTGTCTTACCTTTAAATGTGACAAACAGTTCTGTAGGAAAATATGCCAGTTATTTAAAAAAAACTGTTTCTGACTGACACATAAAAGGCAGGTAATTAGTGGATATAAAGCCTACAGGAGATAGGGAAAAGAGAGAATTAAAATTTTTCAGGGAACAGCACTGGACTTGCAAAACAAACACAGGAAAAAAAAATCTTTTACACAGTTTTCCCATTTGCAATAAGAAATATGATCTCATAGACCAATCTAACAAAGAATTACAAATGGAAATTTTCCAAAAGAAAAATTTCTTGAACTATCATACCTCCCTGAGTTAGAACATGCTATTATTTCTCCTGGGTTCCATTGAGTTCCTGCATCCCGTAGAGTGGTTATCAACATGCGCTCTGGGATCAGAGGGCAAACTGGCCTTCTACTTCCCAAGTGTGTGACTTCAGGGAGGCTGCTTTTAGTGGTCTAAGCCTCCCTTCCCAAACATGTGAAGCAGAGACAATAATCACAATATCCCATAGGGTTGTGAGGCTTACAGCGAGACAAAGAATGCCAAGTACTTAGTCCGACGCCTGCCACAATCAGTGTTTGTTGTTACTACATCTCTAGTGTAGATGGTCAAATATTGGCCCAATTCTCCAAACTTTCTCCAAACTATACAAATTATGTGAAGTAGATGGTTAAGAGGAAAAAAATTGCCTTTAATCTCTAAATAGAAAAGATGTAATCAGACAGAAAATGGTTGCTAAAAATCTGACACTTTAGAATACAACCTATTATGATGTAAAGCAATTATGCTTTAATATAAGTCTACATTAAATCTCTCCTATATTATAATACATAATTTAAAGCACTTGTCAAGACAGGTAAATACAGCCATGTGCCTCATGATGACATTTTGGTCAATGATGGACCACACACACGATGGTGGTCCCCTAAAATTATAACATTTTTTATTATACCTTTCCTATGTTTCTGTGTTTAGATACACACATACCACTGTGCTACAGTTGCCTGCAGTATTCAGTACGGTAACACGCTGTAGGGGCTTGTAGCCTAGGTGCAATAGGCTATACCACGTAGCCTAGGCATACAGCAGGCTACACCATCTAGGTTTGCCTAAGTATGCCCTGTGACGTTCACTCATTGATGAAATTGCCTGACAACGCATTTCCCAGAACACATCCCCGTCATTAAGTGACCCGTGCCTACCTAGCAGGAAGTCTGAATAACTCATCAAATGCAGAGCTGGTAAAATTTAGAAAGTTTAAAGTAAAGCAGGGGACAAATACATATGTAAAATTTGCCCTTGTATTGCACTTCAGGGATTTTCCAATTTCAGATTTTCCAGTTCTCTTAAATCTGCACTGAATTCATAAATCGGTTACTAAAACTCTCAATTAAATAAGTGAAGGTTTGAAAGGTTTCTTAATACCAATGAATGCTTCTTTCTGGAGCTCAGTTCAAAAGTAGTCTGATAAAGCATCTCCACAAAGTTTTTCAAACAGGGAACATTCACTTCATTTTTAACAGCCTAGGTAAAAAGACAATGCAAACAATGAAAACGGTTACAGACGTTAAACCATACAAGGGTGACAGAACTCTCTGTAAGGTTTGCGATTAGTTAATAATTCACTGGGATTCTCACTGAAGTGGTATAACGTGTTAAGCGCGTCAGATAAACCCGGTCCCTACCCTGAGCGAACAGGGCAGCACACAGGCAAGTGAACGAGCAAGGAGCGTGCAGTCTGGAACAGCTGCTGCAAGAGCAAATTCTCTGCGCCCCTGGAGCACACGGAAGGGGCCCCTGTGTAAAAACTCAACAAGGAAGTGAAATTTAAGCTGGATCCAGTAACTCTTACCTAAAATACTGCAAAAGACTCCCATTCGACCCTTCTGGCCTGATCTCCCACTGCGCTGCCCCAGTGCACTGGGCCCGGCCATGCCAGCTTCCCTGCTGTTCCTAGGACCAAAGCATGCCCCGGCCTCAAGGCGCCTGCGCTTGGCCTTTCTGTCCCAGGAGCAGCTATTCCAGACACAGCGGGTCTCACTGCCCCGTTCCTTCAGATTCGCTCAGTTGCCACCAGCTGTTTCAAGGCAGTGGTCTTTCCTAACTGCACTCTATTCACAATTTCAACTCCCCTGCCCCTGTGGCAATCCTCGCCCCTTCTCCCCTGTTTGTGCTTCTTCATGCTACTTTCCACAATCTGACATACTACATATTTTATGTACTACTTTATTTCCCCTTTTCCGCACTGGAAGTCAGCTCCACGACAGTTGGGAGTCTTCCCTGTCATACTCATTGCGGTGATCTGTGTGCATAGATGAGGCACTAACATACAGCGAGCACTCGATACGTACAGTAAATGTTAATAAATAAATAGAGGCCAGCAGGGAAAGAGGGGAGGGAGGTTACTAGAGAGACGAGAATGTTCCAAGCAGGAGGAGGTACATGAGCAGCAGCCTGGTATCGTGGGTTCACTCACATGTTGATGTCCTAACCCCAAATGCCTCACAGTGTGTCTTTCTTTGGAAAAAGGTCACTGCAGATCTCATTAGTTAAGTTAGGATCGGGGGACCCTAATCCAACAGGACTGGTGTCCTCCAAGAAGGGGGAATTTGGGCACAGACAGACATACAAGGAGAACACCATGTGAAAACGAAAGCAGGGATCAGGTTGATGGTTCTACCTGTCAAGAAACATCAAAGATTTCCAGCAAAGCACAAGAAGCCTGGTAAGAAGCAAGAGACAGCTTCTTTCTCTTAGGAGGAACCAACCTGCCGACACTTTGGTCTCAGACTTGTAGCCTCCATAACTACGGGACAATAAATTCCTGCTGTTAAGCCACCCAGTCTGTGGTACTTTATTATGGCAGCCCTGGCAGACGAATAAACCTGGACACAAACGCCAAAACATGGTATAAAAGAAGAATTTGGCTACACAGTGATAATGGACCATTGTCGAGGGTCTCTCTTCCTAAGACCTACTCTTTTTGATGAATTTCCTTAAAAACTAAAACCTAATCCCAGTTAGATTTCTACCAAGAACAGGTTATCAGACAAGGGGAGGAAGCGCAAATGACGATTTGGGACAGGGGAGCAGTAATTCAAACCACTTCTAGAAGAAGAAACCGAAGTACGTGTACTAATGATAATAGACTAGAACTGACATGGTTTTATAAACAGCAGCCTGTTTTCTTTTTGATAAATGAGCCCAATTCGCATGGCTAAACACTGGGGTGAGGAGCTCTCTGACTCAAACCACTTGCAAACCTTTAATTCATGACTTTTGTTTGGCCCCACTTAAAAATAAATTTTTCAAATTTTTAACTATAAGTAAATATGCAAGACAGGTAAAACTTTTACCTTTTATCTGCTTAACTTTTCTTACAATTTTCTGTTCCCCTCTTCTAAAAATGCTCTAAAGGTAGGACCTGAACACTGGGAACCAATTCATACAAACACATAGGTCACAAGCCAGCAAATTCAATGTTAAACATGAAAGCCAAAACCGTTCAATCTCTTAACATGTAATAAATATCTTCATTTTATGAAATTTTAAATAGAATAAAGCCTCAATAAAAAGAATGTAATGAACTTCTATTTCTAGCCAAGATGGAGCAGAGGGAGATGGATTTACCCCACCATCTGAATCAACCAACCAACAAAATATATAAAACGATCTGCAAAACACTGTACATCAGTCAACAAAAGAAAGTAACCCCCAAGGAATGGGAAAGAAATGAGATGAGCCCTTCTGAGGCCCCAGGTGACTGCCAAGAGATAGTTTTCAGGGAGGAAATGGAAGTATAAGGCTGTAAGGTTCTTATACAACACATAAATCGTATTAAAATAAAATATACTTACAGCAGCTACAGGGATAAGAATCTCCACAAATAAACCAGCAAGAGCATGTTTTATATCTTTATCTTTTACTTCTAAGAAATACTGAGCACATTCCTTGAAGGGAAAAAGGTACACTTTGGTTAACGAAAAAAGAAAAGGTTAAAGGATTTGTAATATTACAATAATTTCGTGAACACTCTCCCGTTTTATCAAAAAACTAAAGTCAATGCATCTTCAAATTAAAAAAAAGTTAAAGATAATCCACACTTGTGACAATTTAACACTTGGAATAAGAAATGAATGATGATGCCAATGATTTATGTGTATTTTGTTTCTTTTAAAAAGTCAAATGAGCAAGAACTGATGGGCTAATTCTATTGACTGTCATTGAGAAGTTATATCACCTGCATAAACTGAAATGATGCTTCGAAATCTTCTACAGGATACATTTTTACTCGAAAAAATTTCATTCCCATTATTAAGCTGATGACGCTCTGTACCACATGTGGGCTTTGTTCCTTTTGTCTCAGTTCTTTTAATTCGGTCACAAACTTCTTCCTTACAGCCTGAAACCTTTAATATACATGGAGACATAATTTGACTTGAATTAAAAACACTAATTTCCCACATGATATTTAAGGGTGAAATCGAAAAATGTGTTACCTAAATCTCATCTTTCTCCACCCTCATCAAAATTACCAGAAAAGCACAGAAGGAAATAAAATTGTTATTCTAAATTGGCTGTTCACTTATTCTAAAATTAAAAGTTCCTGAAGGAGACATAATAGGATTTCTTTATTCATATAATATCATCAATATAGCACCAATACCATATAGTTAATGATCACAGTAAAATATCATATAACCTACCCATAAAACACCTCCATATAATGCAGAGAGTATCTCTGACTTTTAAGGCTCTTTTTAATAAAGTCTGTGATTAGAGTCATATGGACAGATGACTGGAGACTACAGATTTGTTCAAAGAGATAAACCAACCTATTGTAGAGGACTAATTATCACTTAAAATCAGTATCTCATTATACTGTAGGAAAACGGAAGAAAAGGAGAGGCAGGAACTGGTTTCCCAACATGAATAAGCCACAGAATCAAAAGACTTTTGAAATGCGAGCACCATCTTGGATTCCAATCACCGCAATTGTTAAGGCTAGTAAGTTTTTCATTGCTTACGTTTGAAAAAGACAGTTAATAGTTTATTAACAATAAACTAATTTTAATTATGTATTATGAAACAACTAAAGATTTTACTGTTCACATTACTGGGGGGCCCAGTTCCTGAAAGTTAAAATAACCTCCAATGAAGCATGCTTTCCCCCCTCAGTGAGCGGGGGAAAAAAGAAAGTAAACATTAACAAAATACGGACACATGACAGGAAGTGTAACATCCATTTCCATTTGAACTTCAGAGATTATGATGCCATTTTGCATGAAAGCATTCTTCAGCATGTCAATTAAGAAAATTTTTATAAAGTAGATAAAAACCTTTCCAGTGAAAATTAGAATCAAAGGGTTTTTCATTAAATTTCTCACAAAAATGAGTCACTACAATCCAAGAAAACACACAGACAAGATTCAAATACACCCCAGCCTTCCTCCATCTTGCCCTTCCCCACTGCCATCCACTCCCCTCCCCCCACTTGCCCCGCTAGGTGCTGTCAGCCTGACCCACAGTGGCTCCGTCCACATTGTCTCCCATGCTCATTTTATGCACAAGTGGAACACCCTTCAACATTGCTCGACAGTGGCATTTCTTTACAACCAAACTAGTGAGCTGAGCACCATTTCATAAATTAACTGGCCATTTGGAGTTGTTATCCTTACCATTCTAGAGTTAACTTAGCCATGAGGTAGTGTTCTCTTGGATCTGGCTTGCTACTGTCTTTGGAATTTCTGTTCTACATTCCTGAGATAGAAACTCATTTTTGATAACGTTAAAAATATCATGAACTACTATGCCATAAAGAGAAATACATCATTGCTACTATCTGTTTTTGTGTCTATATCCTGAATTAAAGATTCATTATTGATTAAATATAAGTGAAATATTAAGATATTATTGTCTATATCTAAATCATTTAAAATATTCAAACTAGCTGGGCACAGTTGCTCATGCCTGTAATGCCTAGCACACTAGGAGGCAGAGGTGGGAGGATCATCACTTGAGGCCAGGAGTTCAAGACCAGCCTGAGCAAGATAGTGAGACTTTGTCTCTACAAAAAATAGAAAAATTAGCTGGACATGTTGGCACACGCCTGTAGTCCCAGCTACTAAGGAGGCTGAGGCAGGAAGATCGCTCGAGCCCAGGAGTTTGAGGTTGCAGCGAGCTATGACGACACCACTATACTCTAGCCTGGGCAACAGAAAGGGACCCTATCTCAAAAAATAAAACAAAATAACATAAAACAAAATAAAATAACATAAAATAAAATACTCAAACTATGTTTTAAGTTCTATAGCATTAGTTATACAAGGGTCCCTCATATATTGCAAAGGATAAAAAATATACTAAAAATATATTACTGAATATTAAAATGCTAACTACTGAACATTAACAATTGTGCTTGCCATCTTAGAATTTAGAAAGGTTGTTATGTGATGATTTCAGGGCCAAAAATTCTTTAAAAAGCATCCAAGAAAATATGAATTGATACTTTTTTTCTTACAAGTTTCCCAGTAGTAACAAAGGAAATCCAAAATCGTCCATAATTTTTACAGCAACCACAAGAAGCTAAAGACAAATAAATTTTACCATTTACTAGAATGATGGGTCGTAATCACAAGTCACCAAACCATGGACTATGAGGGGGAAAGTAGTAGTTGTTCCTGTTGTTGTTAGTGTAACTGTTACCGTCAGAAAGCTAAAAAGATGCTCATACAACCCAATGAGTGACTCCTAATCAATAACACTTTTAATGAAGTAATCTAGTATCTTCTATCTTTCCTTTTTGGTATCTCTTCTACCTATTCAAAATTCTGCTTAGTATTATAACAAGTAAGATGATTAGAAGACATTTCTTTGCTATCTCACAAATGAGAGTACTCATCTGGAAAGCAATAAAAGTAATGATTAGCTCTGTAAAGAGTTCTAAAAGACATTTTTAAAAATGCTTCTCACAGAATTGTTAAAACTAGGGAGTAAGTTAATGTCCTGACTATGCTCAACAATTTCTGACTTGCTTGATTCAGACATTTATGGAAAACCCCAAGTAAATTAAAAGAAGTTGTGAAATTGAGATCTGAGCATTCCTCAAAGAGACTCTAAGGAACTGAGAAGTAATAAAAGGTGCAGGAGACTAAATGATAACTCTATGACAAAAATGGTGGCTCTAAAACTATCCATGTCTATTAATTAGTAACGAAGCATTCTAAAACACAAATCAAAATAAATGTTTTACAAAACTTACTTTGATTGGGCAAGAACCCCTATGACCTCTGCATATAAATCTGCAATAATATGCACATTCCCAGTGTTGGTTCCTGAATAACTAAAAAAAATAAAATAAAGGATTAATTTAATTAATTTATTTTTTTCTACACACTTTCTTAATAAATTTGAAAATTTCTTATCAGAGTATTACATAACCACATGAATTTTATTCCATAAAACTTAACCTCATGGTTCTTATAAATCCAATCTATGGTGTTAAGAATTATTTTTACAAAATCTTTCCTCTAAGCCTTTTGCGTAGATTCAAAAGAAATGGGAAGATAATTGCTTTGAACTCTAAAAACAAATGATCAATAAGGATTCAAATTATATTTAAATAGTCTAAACTTGGATTGTAGAAAAAATTAACAATCCCAAGTTAGTATTTTTACTTACCCTTCCTTATGTTTAAAGTGCTTAAAAGCTAAGTTTAGAACTTCATGAACTAAGGGATCGGGTACAGGATGAACAGGAATCTAGAATAAAGAAGAATTATCCAGTGAGAGATTTAAATAAGTTATTAGTCTTTTATGGGTATTCTCATCATTTCAACTAATTAAATAACCAATTTTAATTTTCACGGTGTGATCTATTACTAACCTGTGGATCTTCCTTTTGTTTGAAAATCTCATTTTCTTTAAGAATTTGGTTACTTATCAAATTTCATATTCTAACTTTAAGAATATAGCTTCATAACCACAAGTCACTAAACTATGGACTACGCAGGTGAAAAAGCAGTAGCTGTTCCTGTTGTTGTTAGTGTAATTCTTACTGTCAGAAAGCTAAAAAGACGCTTATATACACCTCTGTGCAACACTTACAGAAAAGTAACCTTTGTAACTAACGAGCCAGCCCCACATTCCATAAAGTCTGATTTTTCTACCAGGAACAGTGGCCAAAAGGGATGCAATCTTTTCCAACAACTTTACACTATAGATTTATTAGAAATCTGTCATTTAAATATCCCCATTTTAATTCTTTTAAAACGTACATGCTAGTTCCTATTACATAAAAGAAACCAAAATATTTAAAGCAGCAAATAAAATCCCTGCTGCTCCACCACATATAATCACTATTAACAGCTTCGTGCATTGCCAGACTTTTTCCTACACAACCCCACACACGCGCACATATCCACACCTTATTTTACCTAACAGAATGACGTAGCTTTCTGTGTCAGCTGTTTTAGAGCTCCTCCTCATACTTGTTCGCAGACACACAATACTCAGTATGTATTAATATTTATCACCATTTATTTAATGAGCCCCTTATTAGTGAACGTTTCATTCCAGATTTTCAACATTCAAATAGTACAATAAACACCTCGTACATTCAGTATTATATATACTTCAATAGTTAGCTCCATGGGAAAGAGTCCAGCAGGAGGAACTGCTGGACCAAAGAGCATGCAAGTCACTGCTGATATATGTTCTAGTTCTACACAGTCGTCCCTTGGTATATGTGGGGGATTGGTTCCAAGACCCACCGCAAATACCCAAATCTGCAGATGCTCAAGTCTCTCATATAAAACGGTGCAGTATTTGCATACAATCTACACACATCTTCCTGTAGACTTTCAATCATCTCTAGATTACTTATAGTACCTAATACAATGTAAATAGTTGTTCTACTGTGTTTTTTATCGATTGCTTTTCATTGTTGCATTGTTATTATTTATTTTTGATATTTTCAATCCAAGGTTGTTTGTATCCATGGATACAGAACCCACAGATACAGAGACATAGCTACGTACGTGAGAGTCTGTTTTTGAGCTATTTTATTCTATCAATTTGTATATGTTTGCACCAAAACTATGCCATCTTAATTTTCAGAGCTGAAAAATAAGTTCAGATGTCTGGTAGGTGCAAGTCCTCTTCCTCAGAGATAGCTTGGCTATTCTTGGCCCATCATTCTTCCATTATTCAATTTAGAGTCATGGGCCGAGCGCGGTAGCTCACGCTTGTAATCCTAGCACTCTGGGAGGCCAAGGCAGGAGGATTGCTTGAGCTCAGGAGTTCGAGACCAGACTGAGCAAGAGCGAGACCCCCATCTCCACCAAAAATAGAAAAATTAGCTGGGCATGGTGGCACCTGCCTAGAGCCCCAGCTACTCGGGAGACTGAGGCAGGAGGATCACCTGAGCCCAGGAGTTTGAGGTTGCAGTGACCTACAATGGGGCCACTGCACGACTCTGTCTCAAAAAAAAAAAAAAAGAAAAAGAAAACTTTAGAGTCATCTTTTCAAGTTCTATAAAAATTGTTAGGATTTGTATTGGAGCTGCAAGAAATCTATAGATCAGTTTGAGGATAACTATATTTCTATACATATACATGGACTATCTTTCAGTAAAGTTTTACAATTTTCTGATTTTGTCCTTTGTTATACTTATTCCTAAGACAAACATATGAAGAGATGCTTGATTTCATTAGCGATGAGGAGAATAAAAGTACACAAGATGTTATTTTACACCCATTTGATGGGAAAAACTTAAGTCTGACAATACCGAACAGGAGAGAGTGTAAATAAGCCAGGTTTTGTAGCCATTGCTATCGGGAGTGTGAAGCAATTTTCACACAGCTTGCAATCTAGTGAAAGGGTCAGCTTATGCCCCACGGTGCACCATTTGAGCTAAAGGCAACTTAGAAACAGCAGATGAAGCAAAAGCTCCCTCCCCCTTTCTGCCTAGAGGCGGGTACAGATTCCCCTTTCTGAAGGTGTCCACCCTCCCACCCCCCCCAAACCAGGAGGAGAACAACCATTATCAAAGGAGACAGAAAGCACAGAAAAGCTCCCTCCCCCTTTCTGCCTAGAGGCGGGTACAGATTCCCCTTTCTGAAGGTGTCCACCCTCCCTCCCCCCAAACCAGGAGGAGAACAACCATTATCAAAGGAGACAGAAAGCACAGCACAGGTCTGCACAAACAATCCTGACTAAATAACTCCTATCTTCCATTAGTTCCCTTCACATATATACCTTACCGTAATTTACTGCCCCTAGAAGCTCAAACCCTTTTCCTGTGTCTTGTCATTGCTCTACAACCTATCACTCCTCGTCAAAACAGTATATAAACTCTTGGGTCTAACCCTTTTTTGGGTCTTTATTCTTTTCTATGGAGGTCTCCACATGCGAACATAATAAACCTTTAGACCTGTGTATCTTTTGTCAGTTTAATTTGCAGGGCCCAGTCATTAAACCTAACAGTGTAAAGCAGAAAGTTTTTCCCTCCCCTACACAGTAGTCTCCCCTTATCCAGTCTTGCTTGCCACAGATTCAGTTACCTGCAGGCAACCTTGGTGTGAAAATATTAAGGTATTTTGAGAAACTGAGACCATAATCACATAAATTTGTATTGAAGTATATTATTATAATTGTTCTATTTTATTATTAGTTATTGTTGTAAATCTTCCCATGCATGATTTAGAAATTAAACTTTATTGTAGGTATGTACGTATAGGAAGAAACCCAATACATGTTGAGAATCCCTTATCCGAAATGCCTGGGACCAGAAGAATTTTAGATTTTGGATTTTTGTGATTTTTTAGAATATCTGCATAGACATAATGAGATATCTTGGGGATGGGACCCAAGTCTAATCACAGAATTCATTTATGTTACACATACACCATACGCAAACAGCCCGATGGTAATTTTACATAATATTTTTAATAATTTTGTGCATGAAACAAAGTTTTGACCACAATCCCTCACATGAGGTCAGGTGTGGAATTTTCTACTTTTGGTGTCATGTTGGCATTCAAAAAGTTTTGGATTTTGGAGCACTTCGATCTTGAATTTTTTGATTAAAGATGCTCAATCTGTAAATATTAGGTTTGGTACTATCTGAGATTTCAGGCATTCAGTGAGGGTCTTGGCATGTATCCCCTGCAAATAAGGGAACATTATTCTATATCCTCCAGTTATGCCTGAAGTCCTACAGTGACAGCCAGGGACAATACTTAGTCATGCTGTGTCCTCTTTACGGCTACCCTAGTACTGCTACCATCAGCACCTTTTACCTGCCTGTGTGCCGGGTACTAGTTATATAACGTTACAGCTCAAGTGCCCCAGATTCTGATATCAAAATGCATTTAATAAATGAGACAAATGAGCAAAGAAAAAGCTAGAAGAGAGAAACAGAAAGTGAAAGAAGAAATACATTTTATCCTTAATTTTAATTAAAAAATGAATTTCTAAAAAATTTCACATTACGAATAAACATCAGAATACATAGACATTTCTAACATCCCTATTTCTTTCCTTATTTTCAATAGTAAAAACAAAGAAGAAAAAACTCTCAAACTGAATTCCCAAAAATGGGGGAGGAAAGAATCTCATTTTGGTTCATAAAGAAAAAATTCTACTTTCATGGAGTAATATTTAAATCTTTAGCATCAAGAATTTTTTAGATCCTGTCATTTACGCGATTTTTGGAAGCAGTTCTAGTTCTAGTTCTACTTGAATATTCAAGAAGGATATATCTAGTAGACACTAAACAACACCTATGGTGGTTGGGCATGATAGCTTGTGCCTGTAAGCCAAACACTTCGGGAGGCCAAGGCAGGAGGATTGCTTGAGGCCAGGAGTTCGAGACCAGCCTGGGCAACACAGCAAGACCCTGTCTCTGCAAAAAATTTTAAAAATGGATTGGTCAAGCACCTGTAGTCCTAGCTATTTGGGAGGCTGAGGCAGGACCATCACCTGAGCCCAGGAGTTCCAGTGTGGGCAACAGTGTGAGACTTTGTCACTTAAAAAAAAAAAGAAGAAGAAGAAAAGAAAATACCCAAGGTTTACTCCAAGGCAATTCCCAGCACGAAGGCCCCAAATTCAACACATATACTTTTACCACATTATAAAAGTAAAGAACAACAAAACCAGCTTAAGAGGGAAACTGGGAAGTAAGAGAAGCTCCTTCACTAGCTGAATGGCTAATTCTGAACACAAAGGAGAGTAAATAAATTCATGCCACAGCAGAATGACAAACCACCCTGCGTCATGGACCTTCCGGGCTGCTCATCACCGTCGAAAATGTTAACGTTACATCTGAAAATGCTAAGGATCCACCCCACAGACTTACTTCATGATGGTACCGAGAAAACTAAGCCAACAGTTTGAAATGGTTTACAAACTAGGTTTCTCAACCTTCTTTTTTGTTTCTAAGAATAAACATATGACTAAAACTCAGTATAGAGAGAATATTGCCTCAAACTTTCTGAATGCTATATTGCTTTTTAGACATGCTTTTACCACAGATCTAAAGGGTTTGGTTCTAATACACTAAAATTTTTAGTCAGCAACTATCCCCAAATTATTCATTTGAGTTTCTCGTCAAAAATAAAATAAAATTGGTCGACTATCATATTGAATTAATTTTCTTCCCATGGCGAATCACACTATTTAATTTCATTGTATTTATATTAACTAAATTCTTTGTCTAACTCGTTATGATAAAAAACTTTCATTCCATTTTATAAGGCCGTCTCACCCAATTTCTTATCGCTGATTTTGCCAGTGAGAATTTATTTTTATCATTAAAGGGAGAAAATTTGGAATAAAAAAAATGAACTAGCTTTAGGATCTTCAGCAAGTCACTACAACTAAGAACATTTCTTCATCTGTAAAATGGAAATAACAGATAATACTTATTGAGGATTTTTCCATGCACCAGGCATTATTTTATCTGATTCTCATGATTCCACAAAAATGACACTATTATCATCCTTTTTTATAGAAGAAGAGTTAGTAGTAAGTTGCCCGAAGTTACACAGCAAGCAAGATGGCTGGGATATTAATAACACTTGCCATGGCCCTCTCCCAGGGCTTATTACAATGATCGGTCAGCAGAGAGGATATAGAGTCCGTCACCCATTGTGAAGGGTTCTAAACATGTGTGATTATTAATAAAGATATAACGGATTATTCAAGGAACAAACAATTTACAATATATGAAGTCAAGGACTAACCTACAAGGAATATTTACTCCTCCTCAAGACTGAAACCATCATGTATCAGTACTTCAATACTCTGGGACTGTCCATCTCATCAAGATAAAACGGAATCACATTTTAATGTAGGTGTTTTATGCGGAGCAAAAGTAAAAGTCCCATTAAATTCAAGACATATTACATTGATTACTCTCTGGATCTATTAAACCCCATGTCATTCGACAGAAGAAAATTGGGTTAGTTTGTCACGATATTTCAGAAGGCTCTATTGATTTTTATTTCATTTTCAGTAGTTTCATTAGTTTTAGAGAAGCTAAAAAGACTTTTGCCTTTTACTGGGGGGAAAATTCCTATATAGGATTTTCGATAAATAAAGTACATCTATGTTCTTGGTGATATATTTTTTCTTTGATGGGTGCATGTGAATCACGATATGAGGACAATAATAAAAGAGGAAGAAGGGTGAGTGGAAAGGGTACCGTAGGTTGGAATAATATGGTCACAGAAGCAAAGACAAAGATTAACTCTCAGAGCCACTGTATTTCTCTTTCTCCCACTTTAAGTCCATGTGAACTGTGGTCAGAAATGATTTTGTGCAGGGAACTTGGGAAACGAGCCCTGCCTTTGTTACGACAAGAAGCCCATTCGCCGTTGTGTGGAGAACATATCTTGCTGACTCTGTAATCCTATACCTTGCTCTTGCTCTGTAATCCTATCTTTCCTCAATAAACCTTGTTTCGTGCTAAAAACAAAAGAAAAATGAGCCCACTGAAAAAAAATGTTTTTAAGTTTATAGAGTCTGATGGTTTTTTCCTACGAGAAAACTTACCTAGATTTTTTCAAAGGAGGAACAGGAGGGAGAATAGGATTATGAAGATTATGGGGAAGGGGAGAAGACAGCAAAGATAAGAGAGAAGAGAAGGAAAAAAACCCCACAGGGTTGTCTGTGAGTTGAAGCTCTGAAGCCAGTGCTGTTCGGGGCACCTTTCAGATGAGAAGAGACACTGAGTGATGGGACAAGGACGTCACAGGAAACAAAGGAGAAAAGGCACAATGGAGCGGATAACGGAGGGCCCTGCATGTCGGTGTAGAGAGTTTGCTATTTCTCCAGCTACAAGAAACAAGCCTGTCCTATTTAACTAAGCAAAGAAGTGCAAATGCTGGTTACCAATCCACTCAAACGGCCTACATTTAGCACACAATAGATGCCAGGGATCAACTACAATGAGCAATAAGTCAAAGTCCAGTGATAGTCTATGGCCACTTCTTTTTATTTATTTATTTATTTTTAAAAGACAGGGTCTCACTATGTTGCCCAGGCTAGCATCAAAGTCCTGGGCTCAAGTGATCATGCTGCCCCTACCTCCCAAGATTATAAGTGCCAACACAGTGGGTCTATGGCCATTTCTGGTCCTTAGCTCCTCCTACCCTAACCACAGCATCTTAGCGTCCCAGCTAAACTGAGAGATCACAGGAATCAAATATGGCTTGCTAGGACAACTCCCAGAGGAGATTTCTTTCCTACATCTACTAAAACAATCTTTATGAAAGGTATAAATCAAAGCTACCTTTGATTAACTCATGTATTTTACACATTTAAAAAGTTTTATTTGCAGATTTCAGAGTATCAAATAACTGCCTTTTCATGTTCATTGTTAAAACAAAAGCAAAATATAAATGATTGCATAATTCAATTATCTTTATATTGACTATGGGAAAAAACAGACTATCAATTTTTATATATTACATTTGCTGTATATTATATATATTCCACTCTACATAACAAAAACAAAACTTCCTGTCTGAGCATGTCATATGCAAAATATTTTTTTTTTTTTTTTAGGTTATGTAGCTTTTTCAAAATGATCTAATGCTCATGGCTGGAAATACATGCTCATCCTTGAAAGATATATTAAAGACTATGAACTTTAAGAAAAATAAACTTTCAAAATCAGTACAGGTTTTGTATGTATTCTTGTATTGATTTTGAGCAGTAAACACATTAAGGCAATACCTGACATTGTATCATACAACCACATCTTTACTGTTTATCCCACTCAGGTATGAGCCCACGAGGGCAGCACCTAGTCATGCCAGCGCACAGTAGGCATTCTAATACTCAATGAATGATTAAATACACATAATTTATGATCTGAGGAATTCTTGTCAGGAAACCATTTGCACTTGACACTTCAATGTCACCCTTATCAGATCACCCCCGCTCCTCCACCATAACCGCACAATTATTACATGTTGGAACGCAGGCTTGAAGGTTTAGGAAGAGAAATTAAGTGGAAGTAAAAAGGGATTAAAGTAGCTGAATGACAGGCGACTATATTTACAGTTAAAAGCCCATATTCAACGCAATTTCCATTCAGCTCCATTTTGCTAACAAGATTTCATCTCTCTCAGATGGCACAGGAAGGTGAAAAGAACAGGGAGTGATAGACAGGTACGGGCAGGAAAGCCCCAGGCAACTGAAAGAAGTATAATTAAATTACAGGGATCTAGTCTGTGTGGGCCAGAATTTTAGACCTAATATCCTAAATAAAATAACCGAAACACGAAGGCATAGTAAGGCAAAGAAATACAGACTTTGCAGAAATAAAATAGCTTACCTGCTTTAGAACTTCAACTAAAACTAAACAAAAAATGAAATCTACTGCTAAGTCTCTCCTTTCAAGAAGATAATCTCTTTCACGTTGCTGTTCATCCCTGAAACAAGAACCCAAAATTAGCATTGCATTGTAAGTTTTAAAATAGCTATTGGCTAGCAGTTCGTGTTGCTTACTATGTTCCTACATGTATGGTGTGCTATAGCAATTGTTAGCATGAGGTTTTTAAATAATCCAGTGTATATATTACATGTTCTCATGTTCTTTCTCTTTTCATACATTGGGCATTTACATACACACTTCACTATTATATCTGTCGGCAATTAAACTGAATCTAAAAGAATTAGTAATAGAAAGAAAAATATTTTAAGTTTCATTTAGAAAATCTAGCATTGTTCCATATTTGATTACTAATTTTTATATTAAGAACTGAAACAAAAGTAATAAATTTTATAGATGAAAATACAGTACAAGGTTAACCTTTTCACAAATCTACATTGAAAAATCACAAGTAGCACTTACTAAAGGCCAATATTAAACCAGGGGCAAGCACCTGACCATAAGTAGATGTTATATGTGATGCCAAGATCTCTCTAGGGAATTTGGAGGAGGAGAAGACAAATTTCAGGATTTGAACAGCAAGCAGAGTATAACAGCACTAGGATAATACAGGGATTTCCCTGAAACGACGTACATTTATTACGTATCGGTAAGAAATATAAAATTTTTATGAATCAAAAAAATAGTAATAATTCAGGGTTTTGGCAATTGCTTCCCTTCATAAACCATATAAATAGAACCTTCTTTGAATATTGTCTTAACTTCTTCTGTGACTATTAAAGCTCCTCACTGAACTGCTAAAATGACACTCCTGAAATTCACTTTTGAACCCTACCCAGTGATGGGTACTGTAGGGCTGCACCTCATTTTTAACTGGTACTTTCTCTTGTTTTACAGTTTAAGTATGATCGACCCTTGCTCCCTTACCACCACCTTCACAACAAAAACAATCAGTGCGTATCGCTTAGGAACCAAACAATAACAATCTTCAGTGGATAACACCATCACCACCTTCACTGGAAGTGCTTCAATTCCAGGAAAAACAATGGAAAACAAACCACTTACCCCTTAGACTTTGTGCTAGATCGAGGCCTGTACTCGTAAGACTCATCTTCAGTTCCATTCTGGCGTCGGTACCAGTCAAACAACGTGCGAAGTAAGGAAGGCAGACAGTGCTCTGCTACTGAGCTCATAGAGCTTATCAACTGACGACACAAGAGATCACCAGAAGACAAAGTGTAACATCAAAAGTACCGCATTCTTAACTCTACTAGCGATCATTTACAAATGAACAGACATACTGACTCAGATGCAATAAATGTGTAACAGGCCCCTTTGAACAAATTTTAATGATCCCTATATAATCTTCTCCCTTAACTACTAGACCTTTTGAGTTGTTTCCAGAAATGGTGGATTTTCTGCAGGACAAAGGAGCTGAGATTCTAAAGGACTCTGGGCAGACTTCCCGATGCCAAGGTTCACCATCCCTACAACCTGCCCTAGTTAGTTACACGGTGACCTGCTCCAAGGCCCCAGGCCCCTCCTTTAAAAGCCCATGATCTCCTTTAGTGCCGCTGGATTTGAGGCAGCTTCTCCTGACAAGATAAGACGTCTACAGTACTAAAAATTCCTTTCTTCCTTGAAAGGAAGCTTTCAACGATGAGACAAATCCTGTTGTCTCAATCATTGGATCTATGTGCATCAAGCGACTAAACCTAGACCAAAACCCCCTTGGGCTTTTGACAACAAACATGTTTTAAAATTACAAAAAGGGTCAGGAGTTTGGCCAAGTAATAAAATCAGGTCAGCTAAGTTTCACCCGCTATTAACCTTTATCTAAATCCACAATTTCGCTCAGTGGCTTTCAATCTTTCTCCTGCCTGCCTATATGCCACTCACCTGTGTGAAAACACACCCGTCAGTAACACCCCTGATTACATAACATGGATACCTCCGGGAGAGCTGCCACAAATAACAGCAGAAAACCATATTTACTTCCTGCCCTGGCAACTCCTCTGTGCTTATGGGAACCAACGATTCTAAAATGTTGCCACTACACATAGATGAAGAGACGTACAAACAAAGACGACTACGTTAAGTGAGAACTGTGGGGAAAGCTCCACTTTACTAAGCTACGACACCTAAGAGAGAATTACAAGCACTCAAGCACTTAAGGCTTAGAATGTATAAATGGGCAACATAAAGATAAGTGTAGTGCGATAAACTGTTATTAATTTTGAAACTACCTGAATTCTAGGAGAACAGCACGGATTCGCTTTGTGAATGAACCCAATTTCAATGAGCAGTCCCTAAGGTTACTCTTCATCTGAAGGATCCCAAGAAAAACCTTCTCTCTTCACAAGAATGTCTGTATCTGATTTGACCCATTGGTCACAAAATTAATATTTCAAAACCAGCATGTGATCAAACATGCTTCATTCTATCGACTTATTTGAAAAACTATGCGTTACAGGAAGACTCAAGGTCTCTTTCGGTTCCATGACTACAGGAAGAGTCGGTTAATGAAGGTAAGTTGATATCTCTGGAAATCAAACATTTAATTTTCCTATCATTTCCTTTTCTACAAGCAACTTCAAACTGTACTTCATTCAGGAAATTGTTAATAGAAAAGAATGAGACAGTTTATTTGACTCTGTAGGCTGTTCTCTTTTTCAGTACTTCTAGAGACTCCTCTAACCATCCTTTTATTGTAAAGTACCATAATTTGACAGGTAAATAGTCCCTAATAAGGAAAATTAAGTAAAAACAATATTCTGCTTTTATTTAACCACTTTTTAAAATTTATACTACAATGTACAGTGTGACTCAAAGGAAATCCCTTTTTAATACCTAAAGAGGGAAAAATAAAACACCATCTGCTACTGTCAACATAATACCAAAACAGTCTACACCACGCATAGCTTTATACTGTGAGGGGAAAAAAAAGAGGCTATGAGGCACAGTCATTTATAATTTTTATTAATCATTTACTTAAGATTTCCATTTGTCACTTCACAAATGGAAAAATTTTCCTTAAAATGTTTAATCACATTTGAACCCCCTTAGACATTGATTAGGAAAGCAGACTCACGATGTGAATAATCTAAATAATTTCTGTAAAGGCACAGGATTTGAAAACTATTGTATAAGGTGATCTTATTACAGTACGATCAGAGGACGTACCTTCCCATTTATGGTTTCTTTTTAGATCAGTGGCTATTTACTAACGCATGCTGTGAACACAGGTGCCAGACCACCACCCTTGGTGATTCTGATTCAGCAGAACTGGAGTGGGATCCAGGAACACAGTATTTCGAGAAGCCTCTACCAGGTAATGTTAACCAGTCTTCTTTATCAAATCAATTAGCCTAACATGAACATTAACTTCTATTTCTTAGATACATAATTTTGAGTAAAGCAGGCCAGGAATACTAGATGGTAACAAAAAGCTAATATGAGTAATTGCTTTTTTCAAATAATCAACATATAATAATAATTATGATAAAATAACACTTGATCCAACATTTAATCTTAGCAAGAGGAAGATTTACCATTAGAAAAATATCACATAAGGTGTTAGATGTTGGTATTCTATTTGAATACATACAGGCTCTGAGAGCCCCAACAGAGAAAAATATTAAAAGGTAAAATATTGTCACATAAAAATTGTAGCAGTTGGTACACAAAGACTGAGGAATGTAGCTGAAAACTTTCTAAGAAAAATTTTAAAAGGGCACTTTAAAGAGATAAACAATGAAAAGTAAAAAAGTTTTCAAATGCTAAAATGAACTGAAATCAATAAAGTTCACAGCTCATTCTATTACTTGTTAAAAAACAAACAAACAAACAAAAGAACTACCACTTCCAAAATGAATTTAGTATGTGAGGGTATAGAGGATCACTAAACAAAATAAGGGAATTTCTTAAGATTGGATGTATTTGGACCAACTATCATGATGAACATTTTCTTTCCAGGAAAAAATATCCCCCCAAAATTGACATACCTGGTCAAACTGAAGATCTTCACCCCTCTGAAGAGATCTGGACAACAGCTTCTCCTACAATAAAAATATTAAAAAATAAAGTATAAATACAAACTATTAGAAATCTCCTAATATGATAAACAGTTTAAAATTGTGAGTTGGTGTTGCTTTTTTTTTTTCATTTATAATTATGTTGTTTCGAAGAAAGGAAAACCTTTACTTGGCCCAAGGTCACACGACTAGGATTCGATGCCCTCATCCCCAAGTGTGGCTCTACAGTCAGAGCTCTCAGCCAGATCCTCTCCAAACCAAAGAGTGGCAGCGTCACGAGGTCTCCCTCCGTGACAGATTCGGTTCAACAGTTCTTAGATTACAAGCTTAAAACTCAACACAGGACTTATTCAGATTCAAGCTCAACAGTCAATAGCATGTGGTGTTCATTCGTTATTTCTTTTGCTGATCGATTGCTTCCACTCGTGTTTACTGAAGAGCAGCCCAGTAGTGCCGTGATTATGAGCACGTCCCATGTAGCCAGATGGCCTTGCTTTGACAGCTGGCCTGACACTTCTAGGTGAATGACCTTAGGCTGGTGACTTACCGTCTCTGTGTTTCAATTTTCTCATCTGAAAAAACAGGGCGATTGTCAAATACTGGTATCAGTAATACGCTAGTTTAAGAAAAAAAAAAAAAACGAGAAGCTTTCCATTTTTCTCCGTACACTATGATAGTTCAAAGAAGTATGGAATTTTCTAGTCCTAGAAACCATGAAAAACAAGCTGGTAGACTGTCTGGAACCATCGCTTAGGAAAAGTAGTTTCTTTCCTCAAAATTTCCCCTTATTATTATATTATTTAGAAGTATAGCCACTGCTAAGTCAATTCTTCTATTAATAATTTGATAATTTCCTAGAGTTGAATGATGGTTGATAGTGCTGACTGTGGGCAAGGCACCATCTCAGCATTTGATACATTAACTCTTGTCTCCTTACAATTTTTTTAAGTCTTGAAAGTAAACTAACAATTCGGCACACCATGTACCAAGTACCTACCCTATGCCCTACACATGCTTTTCATCGTCAGTTCTGTGCTTATTTTGAAAATGGGAATTTATTTCAACATTAGAGAACAATTTGAAGATAACACAGATTTCATGACTTCCCCATGTACTTATGCACAAATTCACCCATGAGAAAATCCTAGGGTGAATGTAGAAAGTTGCACCCAGCGCAACTGATCTTTGCGGGAACACACAGAACACGCACACACACACCCTCGAGTGCCCACCAGGAGCTTCGGTTTAACACATCTTGCAAGTTACGCCCCCGTGCCTGGTGTCACAACTCCCCATCAGATTTCGGATAAGCCTCTTTCCACCCCTTGACAGTAACTCCACAAGCTGCAACCCTTCAGAAGCCCGCTTCCACAAGAAAGTTTTGGGTCTTTTTCAAGTTTCGTACTTATCTCAGTATTTATGCAGTTCTTAAACATTTCACATACACAAACGGTACAACCACCTTTGTGAGGTTGCTATCTTGTTTGTGTGTCCCTGAGCCCTGTGATTTTTATTGTGTTATTTGCATTGCATAGTGATTTTAGGAGCACAAACGTGACATCATAGCACAACTGACTGAACTGCGTGTCCGTGCCCCATCCTAAGCATGTTACAGACGTTATTTAACCCTTGTAACAATCTTATGAAATAGATACTATTATACTTAATTTAGGAAATGAGAAATCTGAGACACAAAGAAGATACCTGTCCATAGTCATACAGCTAGAAAGTGACACTCAGAATATGGCAGCTATGCTGTTACAGTCCATGAGTTTGCACAATGCAGTCTCTTACACAAAATTTCATTACGAACCTTTCTGAATTCTTTATCATTGATGTGACTTAACTGTTATTTTGAGTTCACAAAGAGCTTATCTTGAATTTATTTGCCAATATTCCTATTGTTTTTCATTTCATAAAAACGATGCTTTTATTTTTATTGATCCTAACTTTAGCTTTCTTATTAATAAATTTGGTGGATGACTGTTTTCTAATTTGGTGATTTTTCTAATTGATCTGCCAAAGACTAAAAGAAATTTGTTAAGTTGCCTATTCCTATTTTTGTTAATATATGTTCATTTCCAATAATATTCATTTTATATGTTTAGAATTATATCATCGGCATGTATAACAATCTCATAATTTGACACAACAACAAAAAGCTTTTAACTCCGTGATAGTTCAAATTTTTTTTAAAAGTCTACAACCTATAATGTAAGGGAAAAAGTATAACCGCTTAGCATATAATTAATGAAATATTACCCTGAGGTGAAGTCTAAGATAGTTATACCGTACCGTGGATTGTGTGCTTCAACACACACACAAAAAAATGTGATTTTCTTTTCCATTTTTTCTTGCTCCACTTCTACTGTGTGTGATATTTATAATTTATCCCCAGATTCATAAGAACCAGACACTCTCAGTGTTGGGGATATAACGGTGAGCAAAGCTTATAGGGAGAGGGACATTAGCTAGTCACCTTGATACACGATTACAAACTGAGGAAAGTGTCGCGAAGGAAAAATACAGCATGCTCCAAGACTACAACGTGAAAAGTCATCTAGCTGTGATGGTTAATGTTAGGTGTCGACTTGACTGGATTGGGCTAGCTAGTAAAGCACCGTTTCTCCATGCATCTGCGAGGCTGTCTGCGGAAGAGAGGAGCATTTGAATCAGTGGACTGAGCGGGGAGGATCCGCACTCGCCCAGTGCACATACCTTCCTTCTCTCCTAAAACCCCACAGAACAACAGTAAAATAACTTTTATAAGGGCTAAAAGCACAAGGACAAAGACCGTGGGAGAGAAGGTAAAAAGCAGACGAAGAATATAACTTATCTCACCAGTGACGACTCCTAAGCAGGACAGGGGGAAAGCCAGCAGCCTGTCCCTTCAGCCACTCGCTCATCTTTCACGCACGCTATTTACCAGGTGCGCGGCCCACCAGGCGCCACTCTAGGCTCCGCAGACACAGCCACGAACAAAAGAAAAGCAACTGCTGCCCTCGCAGAGCCGACGTCTACTGAGAGAGCAAAGGAAACGTGTATGATGATAGGTAGACTCGGGAGAGGAAGGTGGGGCGGGGACCAAGGTTTTCGAGATGACATGACCCAGGAGAAGATGACACTTGGCACAGCCAGAGGGAAGTGAGCAAGAAAAGGAAAGATGAGAACTCGGGCACTCTGAAAGTAAGGCGAGGTGAGCATGACAAAGAGATCGTTTAAGGAAGATTTAGACCCTGCCTTCCATTCCCCGTCCGCTTAGCCGGGCGACCATCCTCCACCTACCACAGAGGAGCTGCCTGTCTTAGGAAAGGGCAAAACAGAGAGATGCCGGCCGGGGAACGTGACGGCTGAAGACAGGGCAGCTAAGTAAAAATTTATATACTGAATATCAAAAGCCCCAGTCATTTCCCGATTCTAGCTCCCCAGAACGCTAGCAGCCAAAGCCTCGACTCTCCCACTCGTGGTACTGTAGGAACCTTCTCTGAGGACTCTGAGTAGCCGCCAGAAAAAAACCTGGCATCGACGGTCCATCGATGATAACACACTGAAGACCACAGTCCTTGGACACTGCTGTTTAGTGCCTCATTCTTAAACTGTAACACGTTCAAATAAACATGTGAGAAGCAAAACTAACGGAAAAATGCCGTTTTGAGGAAATAGATCACACAGGGAGAAGATGCCCTTTTAAAATACATATATATTTAATATTCTCAAAAAATAGTGGAAACTGCAGAGTTTTTAAAATGCTGGGCCTAAACCAAATACACAAGGTCGAAATCGGCAGGTGATTGGTAAAAATCTTTTTTCTCCTATCTTCTTTTCTAGTCACTGGCAATCTGAAAAATTAACAAATAAACTTGGGTATGCCTGGGTCATTCCTGAGGATCGACCCATCTTCTTTTCGGAAGAAAGAAATCTAAGGTATTGGATTGCATAGTTTGCAAGCTGCAATTTCAATCACTGATTGCCCTTCCTGAATCTTGCTTCTAAAATGAAAATGCAACGGTGGCTAAAAACCAAGCTCAGCTAACCTTAGAATGTTTTGGCCTTCTTCACCTGCTTTTATTATGGTTTCTAATATGAGGATAAAAAATGCCAATTCTCTCATTTTTTAGCGGTCGATTTAATTCTTTCAGCAAAAGCCATTGGCATTTGTGCTTCTAAGGTTTTCTGTAACCTCCTGTCTCGACTGACCATGAGCCATGCGCCAGCCTCCCTGCATCTGATAAGCCCTGCACGCTATTCTCTTTAAGAGACTCTGTAAGACTTTCATTACAGAACTCAGTCGTCCTGGATGGTTGTTTATTACCTAAAAGGGTTCAGAATAAATTTCAAAATAAATGAAATCACAATAAAAGCATCCGAAGCTATAATGTAAACATTGTGACAATATTAGATTGAATGTATTGTCATCATCTCATCTTGATGCTATGGATTTCCAATCTACCCAGACCTGGACATAAATGAAAACAAAGCACGCAGAGCTGCGACCTAGATAAGAAGTCATGTTGTTATATACAGGAGTGTAAAGGGTAAAATCGGTAAAATACGATGAGGACTTGGCGGTTTTCCTGGTGTATCAGGAAGAGTAAGCAGGGATGACTCTTCTCTCCTATCTGTGATGACGGAGTGGAAACATCTACGTTCTGATGGAATCCGCACCACCATTAACAATATTTTTATAACCTCATTTTAGATTATATAGCAGATGTCTCTGAAATTATCTGTTGAATGAATGAATAAAATACAGCCAGCATCAGACTATTCTAAAAGAACTATTAGAAGCTCTGGCTAGAATAATGACATCATGTTTTATTAGAAGAACAAAAGACACACAACACAGCTATGTTTCCTAAGGCTAAAATCAACGTAGAACACAAACCTTTACCAAGCACCTTCTCCACCGAGTATCCACCAACAGACAATGCTGCAGACAGAGATGAGAGACCTGGTTCCTGGTATCCAGTAACTCACATCGGAGGAGATAAACATGTAAGCAATTAACTATAATATGATATAATCATAATCTTAGAGCATATACAGATTTTTATGGTAGAACAAAGATTCGCTTAGCTTGGGGGAGGATCGCTATGTTAGAGGGAACATATGGGAAGTCTGGAAGGATGAGTAGATTTTTAAAAAAAAAAAAGGGAGTTAAAAGCATTTTAGATTGAGAGAAAAATAAGATTACCCACACCAGGTCAGAAAAATATATAGAGGATATTTCAAGCATCATAACATATGTCAAGACAGGAGAATAAGAAGATAGTATAAAAAGTTTAACAAGGCAATGAAGAGCCTGGAATGAACTTTCAACAGCGTGGATTTATTCCACAGCAATGAAAAGCAAGCAAGATTTTTTAAAGCAGAAGTGATGATATTCGTGTTTTAGATGAAGAAAAGGTTTCCCAACTACATACAATAGCTAAAAAGTCTGTCTTCAATCTCTTCTCCTTCTTATTGTTCGACCACTGTATTATCTATCAAAATAGCATTTACAACTCTTCAGAAACTGAGCCAAACATTTGTTTTCAGTTTCTCTCCTCCCTGCCATCGGCTCTATTCACAGAGAGCTTCCAACATTCTGCGAACATGCCTCACGAAAGTGTAAAAATATGTTCACTTGTTTATTGTAAGGATGTTTATGGCCTTAGCGTTAACTCACAGTATCTTCTAAAATTCCCTTTATTTCCTGTTATGTTTTATCTGTCTCCACAAATCCCACCGGTGAAACCCATTTTTGTTCATTTGTGACCTGCAGTAACCTACCAAAGTGGATTCTAAAGTCATTGTAGCTTTCTACGTCACCACTATCCCTTAATATTTTTTTCAAGTATAGTATTTCCTTTGGAAAATCTATATTATAATGATTAATACAAAAGTCAAGAAAACATTTCAGATTTGTAAGTCAGCTCTACTCACCAAGGGTTCAGCCATTACAACTTCAATTTTCTTTTCAGCTTGAATAGCAAATTCTGCAAAGAGGCTCTTGATGACATATTCACCGGGCTTGACATCTGGGTCAATCGTAATGTTTGACATGATGATGTTCTTCTTTCCCCAAGTGGAATGAAAGTTGGAAGAAGCACAATACTTATTCACTTTGCTGACTGGTGAGGAAGCTAAAAAGAAACGAAAGAACCCTACTTTAGCAATCAACTCAAAGAGGTCTCCCATAACCACCTTAATTAATATGCGTCCAGCCCCTAACCCCACCCAGATCTCCCAATCTCCATTTTTGTCTATTTCACTCGCCACCTGCTAACATGCTGCCTTTACAAATCTACAGTTTAGTTATACATCATGGTTATTATGTCCTGTTTCCCTCTCCACCCCACTAATGTGAATTCTGTCAGAACAGGGATCCTCTTTTGCCTTCTTTGTTCCTGGTGAATCCCAAGAATGATACCTGGCATATACTAGGTGCACAATAAATATTTATTGAATGAACAGACCTCAATCAGACAGTCAAATGCAATGAAGGAAATAAAACAGATGTGAATAAATGAAACAGGAACAGGATTAGGGGACTGAAAGGCAATACTCCTTTGGAAAACATGCTCGGGGAAGGCCTCGCGGAAGAAATTGCACTTGAACTTGGGCCTAAATGGTGAAAAAGAGGTAGCAAGGCAAAGCACCAGGAACAGAAAGCACAAGACTGAATGTGCATGTTGGAGAAATGAGAAGACCAGTGTGGCTGGAGCTCAAGGGAGGAAGCAGGGGTGAAGGGCCATGTGGGATGAGGTCAGAGTCATCAGTCAAGGAGCAAATCGCAGAAGACCTTTTAGGACCTCAGTTTATGTCATGGCCTATGGCCTGGAATATCCATGGAGAATCTGCAAGTTTGTACTTCTCTACCTCAACCTGGTCTCCAGACACTGCCCCTTCCACATGCTGTCATGTAAGTAACGTCTTCCTTGAAAGAGGAAGCAGAACACAAGTATTCAAATGCTAGATTTCTGTGTCTATGATTATAGGACGGTAAATTTGTTCTAAATATATACATTCAAAATGTTTAAGGAATTGTTCTGTCAAATTAAAAAAAAAACAACAAAACTACCCTACCAAACAGGTCAAGATACATAAATTTGTAAAGATAAGCTAAAGAATATTACAAACTGTTAATATTTTATCTAAAATATCTTTGTATCATACCAAGTTAAAATACATTATGTATTCTATTCTAGGACTAAAACTGTATAATAAAAACAATTCAAAACAAAAATTCACAGTCCTTTGGACACAGTGCACATTATCTTAAACAATGACCTGTTTGTTTATTCTGTTTCATGATCCAACATTGTGTATTATTAAAGGAGGGAATCTGTTAACAAATGTCATTGTGGAAAAAAAAGGAGGAGATTTAAAATTTTTATTAAAAATTATTTTGGATCATTAAAGACTATAATTTGTCTTAACATAGTGTATACAAACTACATCTTTTCCTTTAATTAAAATTCATAAGATTGTAACAGAAAGTTCCCCTGGCTTTAACTTTACACTACATGTAACTAAACAAGAACCCTTAAAACAGACCCAGGTACTTAAATTCTAAATTTTGATGAGATATCTTAAATTATATCTTAACCTTTAAACATTCTTTTTAAAAAGAAAAAATTTTAGTTAAAATGACCTCTCAAATAACTTGCCTTTACTGTCTTCTACTTCCTTAAAAATTAAGCATAACCAAATATTTCAAGGTATCAGAATGCATATGTTTAAAAATTTACCAATAAAGCCAAATTTTTAGGAAAGTCTTTATTTTTAAGTTATCGTCCAAGATAGTAACATTTCAAGTTTGAAAACTGAAACTTCATCTCCATAGTATTGGATTAGAAAAATAAATTATTTTTATAATCTAATAAGCAGAATGCAATACAGACATTTGAAATGACATTATCAAAAAATACCAAATGGCACAGGAAAATGTGCAAAATACAGTGTTAAATGCAAGAAGAATCATAAAATTATATTCATATATATATAACTGAAATAAAATTAGAAGGCAGGAAAAATATGTATGGTATATTATAAATACTGAGTTAATCACTTTCATTTCCATGCACAAAGCTCTTATGAAATTGATTAGAAAAAGACCCAGCCCTCAAACTGAAAACAGGACAAAGGACATGAACAAATTACAGAAGATAAAACAGAAGAGGCCGATAAACATGAAAATAATATTTAACTTCATTAATATTCTAAAAACAAAAATCAGATAACATTTTTCATTTATCAAAGTCATTTCCGCCAACTTTGTATTTTGTCATAATGTTTAGCCTTGGTAAAAGATATGTGAATTTTTCTCATTTCTGCTAATAGAAGAGAGACAGGGATGAGAACTCCAAGTAGGGGAAAAAGAAGGCTAGCTTCCACATTACTAGACTAACTTGATGTTACTAAAATTAAATATTTTATAATGCCAAGTAGTAATATTTCTCGACATGCTATTACAAAGTTTTGAAAAATTTACATAAGCTCATGAGAGAATAAACACATACTGTTAGAGTGTAATTCCTAAGAAGACAATTCAGGCTTGAATTAGAAATTGGAAAAACCCAATGTCATATCAAACATTCTTGGAATATAAATCTACTAAACTCTAAGACAGTGATAAGAATAAAGCCAAACCTAAATAATTAAAATTTGGGAATCTAAAAACTGGCATGCCTATTCCTTCTCTTAAAGTGCAAATAAAAAATAAATATCAGTACTTTTAGATGGCTTATTCTCTCTATAGCACTGTACTTAGTATATTTAATAAAACAATTATCATTTTCTTCATGCTCATAAGACTCCTATATCCTTACAAAATAAATTTAAATTCGGTCAAAAAGAAGAGACAAATGAGAAGAGACATACTGCATAACCCTTAAAGTGATATACATTTGGGTTCATTACTTTATAGCAGTGGTTGTCAGTTTGTTCTGCCTCCACTATGCTCCTATGCACAACATTCCAAATAGTAACATCCCTCAAAATAACAGTGGTTCTCAACAGTTGAAGTATTTTGGAATCCCTAAAGGTAGATACATGTAGTCTAAAATGACCCTGAGGCTGGGCATGGTGGCTCATTCCCAGTACTTTAGGAGGACGAGGTGGGAGGATCCCTTGAGACCAAGAGTTTCAGACCAGCCTGGGCAATACAGCAAGACCCCATCTCTTAAAAAAAAAAAATTAGCTGGGCGTGGTGGCACCTGTAGTCCCAGCTACTTGGGAGGCTGAGGCAGGAGAATTGCTAGAACCCAGGAGTTGGAGGTTGTGGTAAGCTGTGATCACTCCACTGCACTCCAGCCTGGGCAACAGAGCAAGACTCTGTCTCTAAAAATAAAACTAAATTAAATAAAATTAAAAATAAAACGACCCTAGTGAAGTCAGCTAAAGCTGACTCTAGCTCACTCACCTCGAAGAAGAGGTCTTTAGGGATAAAAATTACTACTTTATAGTTACAAATTTATATATCTACATGCATATCATATGTATATATCTGTGTAAAGACTTATATATATGATACATAAATTGTTGTATACTATAGAATTGCTTATTAATTAGAATAATTATTATTTACACACTGTATTGGCTAACAATAAAAATTTTGATGACCACCTATAAAAGAAAAAGTGTAGGGTAAATAGCTTTGAAACAAGAACAAAAGTCAAAAAGATCCCTGAATTTAAAAAGCAAATGCAAAATTTTTAGTTTAAAAGGCAAGCCTATCCCCAGCAAATTATTTTGTGGATATCGACAAACTGACTCTAAAGCTTGCATGGAAAGGCAAATGACTCAGAATAGCTAACACAATACCTACAGAGAAGATCAAGGTCGGAGGACTGACACTACCTGATTTCAAGACACCCATCAAGACAGTATGGTACTGGCAAAAGCACAAATAAATCAGTGGAAAAGAATAAAGAGCCCAGAAATAGACCCACACAAATACATTCAACTGATCTTCAACAAGAGAGTAAAGAAAATTCAATGAAAAAAAGAAGACTTTTCAACAAATGGTGTTAGAACGAGATATCCTTATGTTAAAAAAGAAATCTAGACACAGAACTTACACCTTTCACAAAAATTTACAGAGAATGGATCATAGATCAAAATGTAAAATGCAAAACTATAAAACTCCTAGAAGATGAGATAAAATCTAGGTGACCTTGGGTTTGGTGGTGACTTTTTGGATAAACAGTCATCATCAAGATCCATGAAAGAAAAAGTTCGTAAGTTGGACTTTATTAAAATAAAAACCTCCACTCTGCAAAAGACACTATTATGAGAATGAAAAGATAAGCCACAGACTGGGAGAAAATGTTTGGAAACACATATCTGATAAAGGACTGGTATCCAAAATACATAAAGAACACTTAAAACTCAACAATAAGAAAAAAACCAACACGTTTTAAAAATAGGCACTGGATATGAACAGACACCCCACCAAAGAAGACATACAGATAGCAAATAGTATACAAAAAGATGCTCAACCTCGTGTCTCCAGGGACTTGCAAATCAAAACAACAATGATATACTACTGCATACCTATTAGAATGGCTAACGTCCAAAACACTGACAATACCAAATGTTAGTGAGGATGTGGAGCAACAGGAACTCTCATTCATGGCTCATGGGAATGCGAAAAGGTACAGCCGCTTTAAAAGACAGTTTAGTGGTTTTTTGCAAAACTACACATGCTCTTACCATGTGATGTAGCAAGCACATCCCTTGGTATTTACCCAAAGGTGTTGAAAACTTATGTCCACACAAAAACTCGCACATGGATGTTTACAGCAGCTTTATTCATAATTGGTAAAACTTGGAAGCAAAGAAAATGTCATTCCGTAGGTGAATGGATAAATAAACTGTGATCCATCCAGACAATGGAGTATTATTCAGTGCTAAAAAGAAATGAGCTATTAAGCTCTGAAAAGTCATGAAGGAAATTTAAATTCATATTACTAAGAGGAAGGAGCCAATTTGAAAAGGCTACAAGCTGTATGATTCCAACTAAATGACATTCTGGAACAGACAAAACTATAGAGACAATAAAAAGATCAGTGGTTGCCAGGGCTTTGGGGAAGGAAGAACACAGAGGATGTTTATGGCAACGAAACTCCTCTGT